CAGTTGGCCACGGCAGTGAGTGTCTCGTGCCAGGCTGCCCGGAGCCACCCCAACCGGGCCGGGCCCTGAGCTTCCAGCCCACCCCTTTTCCCAGCCTCGGGGCAGCGACTCGCCAGCTCTCGGGCCGTGGGGACCGATGGGCAAAGGGAGCCGCGGCAGTGAGCGAGTGCCGAGGCCTGGAAGAGTCCTGAGCGCTCCCTAAGCCCAAGCCCACACGAGCCCTGGCCCAGCGAGGGCGGAGGGGCTGTGCAGGGAGCTGGAGTGGCTTTTAGTGCTGAAGACCCTTGACCGGGGGCTCCGGACACTTCTGCCCGCTGTGTGCGATCCGCCTGACGGTGCCCGGGGGCCGAGTCCCACCCTCGGTGCCTCGCGCTGGGAGCCATGTGGGGAGGGCCCCGTGCGGCGCGCTGGGCGCCGCTGCCTGGGTGAGCCGGGCGTGATACTAACCAGTCCCCTTTCTCCCCAGAGCGCTGGCAGAGCAACGGCCCGTCGGGCACCCGGCAGGCGCGGTGCCCAGCCCCGGGAGAGGCCCCGCCCGGCTGCGGGCCATGGAGCCCAGCTGTAAGACAGCCTGAGCCTGGGCTGCAGAGGTGCTTGTGTGGGGGAGACCCCAACCGTGGGCAGGGATGAAGCCCAACGGCAGCCTGCCCAGCGAGTTGGGCTCCTGCTTCCGCAGCCCCAACCTCACCGAGAACAGCACGAAGTCGATTGTCTCCCCCTGGTTCTCCACCGCCTTCGGCACCATCGGCCTGGCCTCCAACCTCTTCGCGCTCTGCGTGCTGGTCAGCTCCTCCCGCAAGATGCACAGCCGCGCCCGCTCCTCCTTCCTCATCTTCCTCTGCGGCCTGGTGGTGACCGACTTCCTGGGCCTGCTGGTCACCGGCTCCATCATCATCTCCTACCACTTCACCAAGTTCAACTGGATGGAGGTCGACCCCTCCTGCCACCTCTGCAACTTCCTGGGCCTCTCCATGGTCTTCTTCGGCCTGTGCCCGCTGCTGCTGGGTGCCACCATGGCAGGGGAACGCTTCTTCGGCATCAACCGCCCCTTCTCCCGCTCCACCAGCATGTCCAAGAACCGAGCCTGGCTCATGGTGGGCCTGGTCTGGGCCTTCTCCTTCTCCCTGGGACTCCTGCCCTTCCTGGGCCTAGGGGACTACACCCTGCAGTACCCCAACTCCTGGTGCTTCCTCACGCTGCTGCATGACTCCAGGAACGTGACCTTCTGCATGATCTTCGCCCTGCTGGGCATCCTCGCCGTGGGCCTCTCCTTCCTCTTCAACACGGTCAGTGTGGTGACGCTGTGCCGGGTCTACCACGACCGCGAGGCGGTGCAGCGGCGGCGGGACAGCGAGGTGGAGATGATGGTGCAGTTGGTGGGCATCATGGTCATTGCCAGTGTCTGCTGGTTGCCCCTGCTGGTAAGGGCCCCCCTCCCCCTGTGGAGCCCCCAGCTGCTGCGTTGCAACCGGGCTGGGAAGGGATCGGCAGGGGGCATTA